GTTCACCCCCAGTGCTTCGGCTGGCAGATCCATCTCGACCGTTTGAAGTCGTGATGGACGCCATCGATTTCGCTGTCGGCGCTGTTCTCCTCCAGGACTTCGGCAACGGACTACAACCCATCGCGTACGAGTCAAGAAAAATTGCAGCCGCCCGAGCGCAACTACCCGATCCACGACAAAGAAATGTTCGTCATCGTGCTTGCATTTCGTACCTGGCGCTGCTACCTCACGGGAGCTGACGTCACCATCCGAACCGACCACAAGTCATTACAGTACATGCGCAGCCAACCACAGCTCAACCCGCGACAAATCCGGTGGCTCGATTACCTCGAGTCAAACTTCAGCTACACCATCACGTACAAAAAGGGCGCCAACAACATCGCCGACGCCCTGACCCGCCCATCGATGCAGACTGCAGCAGTGCTAATCGCCCATTCTAACCCTTTATTGGCTAGATTATTCAAGCACGGCTACAAGATCGACGGGTTTTTCGGGACAAATCAACACCAACGGGTCACCACATCACATGGGAGCTACTACCTAAAAGCCGGTACTAACCGAGTTTGGGTACCTTCCTATCGACCCTTACGAGAATTGCTGACGCAGGAGGTACACGACTCCAACCTCTCCGGGCATTTCGGCGTTGACAAAATGTTAAAGCTGCTGCAGCGGAATCACTATTGGCCTGACATGGCGTCGGACGTGCAGCACTACGTGTCCGCCTGCCCGACCTGCCAAGCAATGAAGTCATCATGCCAACGCCCAGCTGGATTGCTGCAGCCCCTCGAGCCACCCGAACGACCGTGGCAACAGGTGACGATGGATTTCGTCACCGGACTGCCAGCTGGCGCAAGTGGCAACGATTCGGTGCTTGTCGTCATCGATCGCTTAACGAAAATGGCGCATTTCGCACCATGTCGCACGACGATCACAGCCGAAGAAACAGCGAAGCTCTTCTTCTCGACCGTCGTACGACTACACGGGTTACCTTCGGCGATCATCAGCGATCGAGACCCGAAATTCACGTCGAAGTTCTGGCAGGAGACGTGGGCACAGTACGGCACCCGCCTGCAGTTTTCGTCGTCATACCACCCGCAAACCGACGGACAGACAGAGAGGACAAACCAGACGATGGAGCAGTTGATTCGCAAGAACTTCCCCGACATCACCAAGTGGGAAGATTCGCTTCCCATGCTCAAGTTTGCGTACAACAACGCCCCATCTGCAACGACCAATCAGTCGCCGTTCTACCTCAATTACGGGATAGATCCAGTGGTTCCCTCATCAACGACTCCTGAAAATCCAGTACCAAGGTCGCAGCAGTTTGTTTCGGAACTTCAAGCAGCACGCGACAAAGCAATGGAATTTACTGTATCCGGAAGGCTAATACTGCCGCCAGCCGCTATGCCGACCGACATCGACGGAATCTACCCTTCCATGCCGGGCAGATGGTCCTCCTAGACACGAAAGTGGACCATCGAGTTGCCCGGCACGGAAGGGTAGATTCCGTCGATGTCTTCTGAATGATGCGGAAAGGTCCTCCCCACCAGGCTGGGGAAATTAGAAGCATATCTTCAATCGAGTTTTGAATTACTTTCGGAAGTGGTTTTGACCGCGCTTTTTGTCGCGCTAGCATCAATTTCCTCGGCGCAGTGGATTTCGACAACACTCATATTTTGCGACCATTTCCTGGAATTCTCGCACATGTTTAGGGTTGACGCCTCCAGGTGTTTAGGGTTGATGCTTCATGGGGTTTAGGGTCAATGCCGTATCGATGGCATGCCATCCATGAGGGGTAGTATTTGTTTTGTCCCGAGCTGCGCATTTGCATTGGACTTGGAAAATATAACTGGATGCACCGTAAAAAATAACAAGTGCCTTTTGAGCTAGACAAGGAGAACTAGCCCCAAGAAGTGGTCGCGCGCGCAAAGCGAAGCGTCGCTGCCCAAAGGAATCGGGAAAAAAAAAACAAGAGGCGACTAGGTCGTCCTAGGGTTGCGAAGCAAATTGGTATGAAACTTTCTCATTGTAGTGTAGTATGAAACCATAGTAGCGTGGTACAAAGTGGTGCATCATCTTTCCTAAAAAGTTCGAATCTGTCCTGGAGTTGGAATCAAACCCTCGACCTTTCGATTCTCAGCAAAGTTTCAACCGACTGGGAAAACGCTGCTGCTTAACGAGCGTAACGTGTTTTACAGGACCATTTATTTTGCGACGAATTTGGCATTGCATTAGGGTTAGTTCAACCCTACCCTTTCTCCCTCGCTAGTTGAACCACCCCCGCCAGTCACGCTACTCCACCTGCAGATGCAAGGTGAGATCAACCTAAGTTAGGTGATTAAGAGCTAGCCTGTATAGAACTAAGTTAGGAGATTAAGAGCTAGCCTATCATTTCTTATTATCGTATCGTAGTCGTTTACTCAATTCTTGGTCATTTTAAAGGATCCAGGTTTTTAAAGGTTAGGTTCTAGACTTGTTTCAAGTACTTAAGCTTTAAGTCGTTTATAAGCCTGCATGCGTTCTTTAGTTCCTCATCGTCCTTTTCCTTCCGTCGCATCCTTATCACCTTGTAGTTGCATATGTTATTTGACATTCTCACTTCATTTCCTCTTTTGTTCTTTCTATGTAGATTTGAATACTTAACCTTCACGTTTTAGTTCTTGTCTTGTGCTCCTTATTTATTGCCACCACCCATACGTGCCTTCTCCATTTCGTTTCTGAGCTCTATATACCCTTGCCCTTCAGCTTTCATTCCATTCAGTCATGAGGTACACATTCAACGGGCGTCCCCTTTCAACTATGCACGATCTAATCGTAGCTAGGTGAGTTCGCTCTATTGATATTTTTGTTTTGTTTTTTTGTTGTTGTTTTTTTAGTATTTGTATTTCGCCTCTCGTGTTTCTCTTATCCGTTCCTCTTTCCGTATTAGTCTGAACTTTATCCTTGTTCATTAGACATGAACTTCTGTTTGTTTCCGTTGCATCTCGTTTCCGTTTCAACAATGTTTTTCTTGAATTGGTTTATTCTACGTTATAGGTTCTTTGTTAACCAGCACTCGTTTATAGTTTTGAACGGTCCTCTTATTGGGCTCTTCATTCTTAGATCGGTTTCTTAATTATTTGTTCCCTTTCTTCTTTTGTAGTTTTTTTGTTTCTGTTGCACCTAGTTTCCTTGCTTCTCTATTTTCTCTTGTTTCTCGGATCCTTTTTATTTTCTGTTTCACCTCTTTCCATATGCTTCTTTCAGCATGTTTGTTATCTGATTCTTGTATCCATGTTAACTAACTGGTTCTTTTTTTTTTTTTAATGGAAATTGGATGTATCAAATCAGTTCAGCACGTGAATAGCAAAATTATAATGTATTGTGTCATTGCTAGGATTCTTTGCGTTTCTGTTGTACAATTTTGCACCTTATCCTCATTGTTCCATATTTGTCTTTCTTTCTTTCTATTGTTGATTCTTTCCCTTGTTGTTTTCTTCAGGAAGTGAAGGTTTTTTTGGACGGTGCAAAGCAAAGATAAGATGGTTCCGTGTAGGATTATATGTATATGGCTAGGGTTTAATTCTGCTTTTAGTTTTTTATTATTATTTTTTAACAGTTGATGCATTGAGCGTTTTTCGTTTGTGTGAATATGTGTGATCATGTGCATGTCTTTGTATCTGTCTATGTGCGTGTGTGTTTGCATTGTGTTGTGTGCGTATGTGTTTTCATTCATGCTTCCATTGCATTAATAACACATGTCTGTGGGTTTTAAAAAATTGGATCAAACTATCATTTCCGAGAAGGTTCTTTGCCCACTCAGTGAGTGTGTTCATTTGAACTGGATTTGATAGAATTGACCTTTTTTTTACTTCGCACAGATTGTGTTGTTTCATGTGACAGTTGGATGACTCAGGAACTATGCTATTGAGCTCCCCCCCATGCTAGGCAGGGGATGCCGTAGCATAGGGTCTGTGTCAATTAACTGTGACGCATTTTTATCATGATATGCATTCATTTCATTACCACAGTAGTATATGCAACATAATTATGCATTTTTCCATTAAATATTTTTTTCACCATATACATCATTATACTTCATCTACGCATACCGTAACATCATCCGGCTTATGCATTACGGAATAAACAGTCACGCGTTCACAGGAACATCATTTTAGCAACCCATAGAGTATAGGTTCGGTCAAGGCAAACCAAGAAATGAGAAGAAATGTGGTACGGCGCATACTAAATTGCCATGGCAAAGACATGGCAGTCAGTCACTTAGTTACCTTATCCTTTTTTTTTTAAGTAAAGAGGATGAAAAAAAAATTGAACATAACGATTGTAATAGGTTGCTTCGCAACCCAAAAATCACGGAGGCAGCCCGTCACTGCCTCGCTTTCATGCGCTCCTTCCGTGTTCTCCTTCCATCTTTCCATTTCCAAGTCCTCCAAGCACCAGTCAGCCCGTCATTTCGCCTTCGCCTTCCTTTTCGAATAGTCAAATTACCACCACCAAATCGGCCTTCCTCCGCCCTCTGTCGGTCGCTATTGGAGCTGTTCTGTAGGCGTTAAATTTCGAAAATCTGGGTCCGCAGAATCTTCGCCAATAAGTGGGTACTGGTCTAGGGGTAACTTCGCAGGCGATTTCTTTCCGCCACTGTATTAACTGCCACTAGTCGCTCTCTCGGTTCGACAACACGGCGTTGTCGTTTGCGGGACCATTCTCGTCCCGAACCGCCTGCGCCTCGAGTGCGACAAGTCTGGGCGAGTCCGACTTGTGTCCTGTTCACACCTACGCGGTCTGAGGGCAAAGCGCGCCCTTGAACGATTGCCTACAAAATGCATGGCGATTTCGGAGTTAGCAGACAAGATCTCAAGCAACGATTTTCAGTCGCTTCAAATTATCCAAGCTTCATTTCCGTACTCAACCATTCGAGTTTCTCGGTGTTCCCTATACCGCTTGAACCGACGTGAACAGCCATGGCATCGAAGAACATCCTCGTTATAGCCGTCCTCGCAATGCTCCTCGTAGGCCTCGCGGTTGCCGACAATCAGGATCGCAAGCGGGACGGCACGGGCAACCAGGACCGCGACAGGAAGCGCGACGGCTCGTGCGCGAAATCCGGCACGTGCACCGGCAACAAGAACGGCGGCAACCCCGGTGGTCGCAGCGGCAATGGCGCTGGGAGGGGGAATCAGGGGAAGAAAGGCACGGGGACATGCAACAAGAGCGGCACTGCGAGTTGCGACGGCAGCGGGCGGAAGAACGCGGTGATGGCGAGCGCGAATGCGGTGACGGCTGCTGACGTGGACGTGCAGGCGTGTGACGGGCCGAAGCAAGCGGGAAAGCTGATGAGCGGATTGCGGAAGAGCGGATTCACCAAGTTCGCCGCGGCGCTGCAGCAGACAGGTGCGCTGGGCCCGCTGCTGGCGCTGCCCCTGTCCTGTCGCTGTCCTGCCGCTATTGCCGTCCCTCTCCGTCTCCCTCTCGGTCTCCCTCTCCCTCTCCCTCTCCCTCTCCCTCTCCCTCTCCGTCTCCGTCACCCCACCCTCCGCCTCTCCTTCTCCCACTCCCTACGCCATTAGCCACCCCACCTGTCATCTCACCTGTCCTCTCACCTGTCATTTCACCTGTCCTCTCACCTGTCATTTCACCTGTCCTCTCTCCAGCCATCCCCATGTGTCCCATGCCATGCCTCACACCATGCCTCACCAGGTTTGGCGGCGGAGTTCCCAGACGTGATGTGTGCGGGCGGAGTGACGCTGCTGGCCATTCCTGATGCGGCGATGGGACAGCTGCCCCCACCGGTGCGAGGGGATGCACTGATGCTGAGGGAACAGCTCATGCTGCACGTTGTCAAGGGCGCCCGCCCCTACGCGCGCATGCAGGCTCGTGGCAAGAACTACAAGGTGACAGCCAGCATTCCATGCTCAACCACAACCAATTTTTTTCCATCTTTCTCTTCCATCAAGCTTCGTGGATTTTACTTTTGAGAATTCTCAAAAGTAAAATCCACATAGCCAGGATTCCATGCACAATCACAACCAATTTTTTTTTATCTCTCTATTCCATCAAGCATCCCTGTGTTTCTTTTCTCTGCATGTATTTCCCGACGCCCACCCTCGCCCTCCATCCACACCCCACCCTCCCTCTCTCCCACACCCTTCGCCCTTCCTCTCTCCCACACCTTTCGCCCTTCCTCTCTCCCCCATTTCTCTCTCTCACTCTCCCTGATCCTCCCCTCCCGCGGAACCCCTCTCCCCCCCAAAACTCCTCTCTCCCGCCTGCAGTTTGCGTGTGCGGCGGGGGCGGGGGCAGGGCGGCTGGTCAAGCAGAGCCAGGGCAGCGCGGCGCTGGTGCTGCGAGTGGGCAGGGGGTGGGGGCAGGCAGCAGCAGTCACGCGCCCCGATGCCTTCCGGTGCACGGGGGGGGCGGTGCACGGAGTGAACTGCGCGCTGGGCTTGGGGCGCATGGGCAGGCCCACCAGGCGCGTGCCTCTGGGGCAGTGCCTGCGCAACGGCAGGGACGAGGATGATGACTAGGTGGGGGGGTTGAGTGATGAGGATGATGACTAGGTGGGGGGGTTGAGTGAAGGGGTGTGTGTGGGAGATGAGGGGATGAGAGGTTAGAGGAGTGAGAGCGGAGGGGTGAGGGGGGTATTGGCCAGATAGAGCACGGAAGTACGGTATGGGGAGCGCATGAGAGCTTGGATAGCATCGCATGTTTCTCAGGAGGATATAGTTAGGGGGGTTTGGTGCTGGGTGGAGGGAAGTGTGTGGTTACAGTTCTGGCTGCTCTGAAGGCAGAGGATGTGTTTTCTAGGGCTTGGAACAGCAGGAAGTGCAAGGGATCATGTTTTAGTGCATGCTTGCTTTTCTAAGCCCTGTGAAACAGAGAGCTGGGATTGGATTGTATTCAGTGTCTAGCTTTTTTGTGTGAATGCGTTTTTCACTGTACCGTCTCATGCCTTGTTTTCCCACGTGCCTCTTAGAGAGATTCACTGTCCCTAGAATACTGTCGAGAAACATGTAAAGGTTGTGCACGCTCTGCTACGGCACGTATCGGCTGACAACTCGAGAAAACCCATGTTACAGGAGAAGGGGAAAATAAAACAAATCAAAACAAAACAAACCAACCATACAAAGGAGCACACTTCGTTGCAATACAACATCAGCGGCTTTGGAAGTTAAGCTTCTTGATTGAGAAGGCGAAGACGGTAAAAAAGAGGATGACGAATCCGATGTTGACAAGCACGACATAGCCGAGCCACGAGTGCTGGTAGCCAAACACCTCCTCCAGATACACCTGCACCGTTGGGTCCGGTGAGACCCCCGGCACCTGCAGCGTCGTCGTCACATCGCCCAGCTGTTGGTGAGAGGGTTCCAGGGTGGAAGAAAGGGGCAGAGCGAGGAGGAGAGAGAGGGAGGGAAGACGAGGGAGAGGGGAGATGAGAGGGCTGTGGATGGGGCAAGCTAGGCGGGATGGTGCAGTGCAGTGCAGTGCAGGGTGATTGACAAAAGGGTGATTGACAAAAGGGTGATTGACAAAAGGGTGATTGACAAAAGGGTGATTGACAAAAGGGTGATTGACAAAAGGGTGAGTTGGTGAGAGACAGGTAGAGGTGAGCAGCGATGCAGCATGGATTGAGCGTACAGTGAACGACAATGCAAGGTCTGCACGCATATGGCAGGGAGAGTGTAGCGTACAGTCCAGCATGAGCAGCATGAGCAGCATGAGCAGCATGAGCAGCATGAGCAGCATGAGCAGCATGAGCAGCATGAGCAGCATGAGCAGCATGAGCAGCATGAGCAGCATGTGCAGCTCAGCATGTGCAACTCAGCATGTGGAGCTCAGCATGTGCAACTCAGCATGTGCAGCTCAGCATGTGCAGCTCAGCATGTGCAGCTCAGCATGTGCAACTCAGCATGTGCAACTCAGCATGTGCAACTCAGCATGTGCAACTCAGCATGTGCAGCTCAGCATGAGCAGCTCAGCATGTGCAGCTCAGCATGTGCGGCATGCATGTGTAGGCAGGAGGATGCTACAAAGTACGACCAAGAATCGCCAAGCCAAGCGTGTATGCAACACGAGTGCAGCATTTTTGCAGAGTGTGTCCAGCATGTGTCCAGTACGTGTCCAGCACGTGTGCAGAATGGGAGGAAGCAAGCAAGCAAGAGAGGGGCATCACCTGTGAGACATTGAGGCCGTAGAGCGTCCATGAGATGGGGTCGATCCAGTACGCCCACCGCCACCACACCGGGATGTGCTGCAGTGCATGGGGGCAGCAGAGGGTTGCACGTGGACGGCTGGATTTAGTGATTGAGGGAACTACAGGCGGCACTTTATACGGGGCAGCGTGTGTTGGGAGGAAGTGGAAGCTAAAACATGGCAGGCAGAACATGGCATGCAGCAGTGGACGGGAGGCACAGCAAAAGGCAAAGAGCTGAGTGATGAGGAAGCACTTACAGGCCGGGCAATGAGGAAGCCGCAAAGAAGGTTCCAAGAGGAGACGCAGAAGCTAGAGAAGACGCTGGAGATGTGGTCGTTGGGCGAGATGGCGATGGCCATGAGGCCGTAGCATGTGAAGTAGAAGAGCGTGAGGAACATGAAGAGCGTGTACCACCAGAACTTGCCGGCCGTCCACTCAAACTGGATCATGGCGTACGTGATGAGCGAGTAGATGACCGTCTGCACCAACACGTATGGCACCTCAATCGCCCCCTGCGCCAGGGCGTACGGGATGGCGCCATATAACCCTGCAGCGCGCTCGCGGTAAAAGACGGTGCGCTCGACGGCCACAATGGGCTGGATGGAGGCGGAGTTGTTCCACCCCATGAAGATGGCCGCCGTGTACATGGCGCCCATCAGGTTCAGCAGCTGCTGCTGCGTGCTGCGCTGCTGCCCCTGCCCAAAGTACACCCCGCCGATCAGCAGCGCCATGACAACACTGGAAAAGTATCGCATCGCGTTGTAGTCGGGCGCACGCCAGTACATGTACGCGCGCTTCCACAGATTAGCGGTGAATTGCGAGGCGTAGCTCTTGGTGTACTGAGTGGCGAAGGCGAGGTCCTGCTGGCCCGGTGGGGGCGTCTTGAGCGACTCTATCAACTCTTCATTGCGGTGGAATTGCTCTGATTTGCGGAAGATTTTGGCGAAGTCAACGTTGAGTTTGTCGGCCATGGCGGGCGTGGAGATGTCGAGCATCCACGTGGCGGGGTTGTAGCCGGCGGGGATGGGCGGCACGCCTGGGATGGCCTGGAAGTAGTCGATCATTATCTTTGAGTCCGTGCCTAGCGGGCCCATGTAGATCACCTCCCCGCCCCGCTTCATGAGCAGCAGCTGTTGTGGAGAGGGGTGGGGGGATGGGGGATCAAGGGAGAAGAGAAGATGGGAAGCAGAGAAGTGGGAGCAAGGAAAGAAAATAATTAAAAGAAAAGTAAAGAAAAGAAAAACAAAACAGACATGGGAGAGGAAGAGGCGAGCTGGAGAGTGCGATGGGAGTACAAGTGAGAGGTGTGTTGATGCACTGGCTCGCGCAACACAATCATACTCTTTATAGCGCACCTCATCAAAGGCCTCAAAGATGTCGATGCTCGGCTGGTGGATGGTGCACACGACGGTGCGCCCCGTGTCGACGGTGTTGCGCACGGTGCGCATCACAATGGCCGCCGCCCGCGCGTCCAGCCCGCTGGTGGGCTCATCCAGAAAGATGATCGAAGGGTTGGCGACGAGCTCGACGGCGATGGTGAGGCGCTTCCTCTGCTCCGTGGAGAGCCCATTCACCCCCGGCAGCCCCACCATGGCGTCCCTGAGCCCATCCAGCTCCACGAGCTCCATCACCTCCTCCACAAACTCCTCTCTGACCTCCGTGTCCACATCAGCCGGCAGGCGCAGCCCCGCGGAGAAGAGCAGGCTCTCGAGCACCGTCTCTCGCAGTACCCTGCCACGCGTGCAAACGTCTCGTGCACCTTGGGGAACCCCGACACGCGCACGTCCCCCTCGATGTACCCGCCGGTCTTCCTGCCTGCCAGCACGTCCATGAGCGTCGTCTTGCCCGCGCCCGACACGCCCACCAGCGCTGTGAGCACTTTGGGGCGGAAGGCGCCCGACACGTTGCGCAGCAGCTGCAGGCGCGCGTCGGGGGGGGCGCCCTCGGCGCGCATTTCGGCGGGCATGTCGACGAAGTAGTTGACGTTGTGGAAGGACAGCGAGTGCGGCTCGAAGGGCAGCACCATGCCGTGCTTTCCCTCCGCTGACTCGCCCTGCCACTCCACGTCTGGAGAGATGAGGGGGAAATGGGTGGGGGTGGAAGAGGTGGGGAGGGAACGATTCTGGAGCTGATTAGGTGTGCGGGGTACAGATGAGAGGCTAGTGCATCAGATGAGAGGCTAGTGCATCAGATGAGAGGCTAGTGCATCAGATGAGAGGCTAGTGCATCAGATGAGAGGCTAGTGCATCAGATGAGAGGCTAGTGCATCAGATGAGAGGCTAGTGCATCAGATGAGAGGCTAGTGCATCAGATGAGAGCAGCAGCAGCAGATACTCACCTAGGAACCCGTTGTGGCTGGTGCAGTGGCGGTCCAGCGCGCTGCACTTCCCCCCTGGCCTGTCTGTAAGTCAGTGACTCGTGAGACATTCCTAACACAACGCAACCATACACGCCTACCTCACACTACTCACCCACTCACCTCTGCCTCACACCCCTCACCCACTCACCTCTGCCTCACACCCCTCACCCACTCACCTCTACCTCCCCAGGCCCTCACCTCTGGCCAAAGTGTGTCTGCTGCAGCAGCGGTCCAGAGCACCGCTCATGCCCTGCCTGTGCCTCACGAGTCAAATCCAACCCTCAGCAAGCCCGTACCTCAGTTCCCTGTGTGTCTGATGCAGCAACGGTGCAGGCACTGCTCGAGCCCTGTCTTTGCCTCATGGTCGAATCTGAACCCTCTCCAAGCCCTCACCTAGTTTCCCGGTGTGGTTGGTGCAGTAACAGTCCAGAGCAGTGCTGTATTGCCAATGCCATGCCGCTGCTTCATGAGACTTGAATCTGCACTTACCTCGGATCCCTGTGTGGCTGGTGCAGTAGCGGTCGAGAGCACTGCCCGCGTCCTGCCGTGTGGACCGCTTTCTGTTGCCGCCCGTTGCCACCACCACCTCGCCTGTACGAGCGGTGTGCTTCGACTCTAGCTGCTCCTCCGACACCACCGGCTGTGGCCGGTCCCATGCTGCAGCGATGCAGAGAGAAAACAGGGGGTGGGGGGCGGAGGGAAATGATGGTGAAAGGGCAAGAGAGAAGCAGGCACTAACGGGGAGGAGAGGTGCGACGCCTCTAGCTGCTCCTCCCACACCACTGGCTGCGGCCGGTTCCACGCTGCACACATTCAGGGAGAGGCGCACAGGAGAGAGAGCAGCATAAGAGATCAAGGACTTAGGGTGAGTCGATGCGTTGGGATGAGTGGTTGATACGAGTGTGATCCAAGCAAGAAGCCTGTGTGGCAAAAAACAGGCAAGAGAGCAGAGTGGAGAATCACCGAGGGCATAGCAGCAGCACCACCACGAGAGAGGGAGTTTCACAGTTCACAACCAACCAAGAGAAGCAAGGGCGAGCATGGTGAGGAGGCTGTAGGAGTAGGATGGACCCAGACAGCTGAAACGAGGAGAGTAAGTTAAGTGTTGAAAGCTTACGATCAAGGTAAGCGAGCGCGACAACAGTGAGAAGGTTGAAGAGCAGGATGTAGCCGATGAGCGCTGCCACGCCAATGCCGACCCACTTGCCATCCGTTGGCATCGAACGGCTCTCCAGAAACACCTGCCCCATGGTGGCCGTGGGGGGGAAGAGGGGAGCTGCGGACTGCAGAGATACAGACAGGAAGGGGAGAGAGGAGATGAGGGGTGATGCGCAGACGGTGAGATGTGGAGGTGGGTACATGGTAGACGGGGAGATGGGGAGACAGGGTGACGGGGAATTGAGGAGATGCGGAGATGGGAAGATGGGGTGACAGGGAGACCGGGAGTTGGGAGAGGGGCGGTTGAAAACGCACACCAGTGCATGCCAACATTTGCGAGCAAGAACTTGACTATTGAGCTGAGTAGAGAACCTATCAGGCTGGTTATTGGATCCAGAGAGCAAAGAGCAGAAAGCAGTGCAGCAGAGAGGTGAGAGCAGAGAGGTGAGAGCAGAGAGCAGGCAGGCACTCACGACGTTCCAGCGGGGGGCGAGGAACTCGTTGACAGCGAGGGCGTTCTGCGCGTACATGAGGGGCGAAATCCAAGACGCCCAGATCCACACGTTGCTGATGTCGGCTGTGAGGGGAGAAAGGATCGGGAGGGGGTTGATCGGGAGGGGGTTGATCGGGAGGGGGTTGATCGGGAGGGGGTTGATCGGGAGGGGGTTGATCGGGAGGGGGTTGATCGGGAGGGGGTTGATCGGGAGGGGGTTGATCGGGAGGGGGTTGATCGGGAGGGGGTTGATCGGGAGGGGGTTGATCGGGAGGGGGTTGATCGGGAGGGGGTTGATCGGGAGGGGGTTGATCGGGAGGGGGTTGATCGGGAGGAGGTTGATCGGGAGGGGGTTGATCGGGAGGGGGTTGATCGGGAGGAGGTTGATCGGGAGGGGGTTGATCGGGAGGGGGTTGATCGGGAGGGGGTTGATCGGGAGGGCGAGGAAAGAGCAGAAATGGAGGGAGGGCCAGGAGAGTGGGATGAGGGGTCCTTGCAGGCCGTACATGAGAGGCGCGAACCAGTATGCCCTGATCCACACGTTGCTGATGTCGGCTGTAAAAGGGGGGTGTTGGGGGAGAAGGAGGAGAGGGGGGAGGTGAGAAGAGGATTCAGTAAGAGGGCGAGGGGGGTAAAGAGTGGAAGCATGGATACACATGCCATGGATGCACATGCCATGGATGCACATGCCATGGATGCACATGCCATGGATGCACATGCCATGGATGCACATGCCATGGATGCACATGCCATGGATGCACATGCCATGGATGCACATGCCATGGATGCACATGCCATGGATGCACATGCCATGGATGCACATGCCATGGATGCACATGCCATGGATGCACATGCCATGGATGCACATGCCATGGATACACATGCCATGGATGCACATGCCATGGATACACATGCCATGGATACACATGCCATGGATGCACATGCCATGGATGCACATGCCATGGATGCACATGCCATGGATACACATGCCATGGATACACATGTCATGGATGTCGAAGGTGAACAAGGAGTTATGAGGGGAGATGGGGTTGATGAGGGAGGGAAAACGGGCAGCTGGATTCCAAGCAAGCGGTGAGAACAAAGTTGACCCACCATTTCTCCACGCACTCATTAGCGGGCTGAGCGTGAGAAGTGCGAAAGAGGCAAGCGAACCTTGACTGTGCTGTGACTCACTGCTGCTTCCACAGCCTGCATACCCGTTACAAGGGCGCATAATACGCATGCAACACTCACCTTTTGCAATGGTTGTCGGCGAAAGAGCCAAAGGTTGTGGTGACAATCACACTGCGCTGCAGCGCTTCCACTCCCTACATACGCGTTATAAGCGCGCCTCACACACCTTTAGCGATGACGAACCCGCCCATCAAGACAAGCAGTATATCAGCGAATGAGCCAAAGGTGGCGGACACCACCATGTTGCGGCCCAGAGCTCCAATCAGGCGGAAAAGCGAGATGGAGACCTGGTGAATGAGGAAGTAAAGAAACATCTGCATGAAGAACCTGGTGGGGGGAGGGAAGGGGGGTGTTGGAGGCAGAAAGAAGAAGAGAAGGATGTTGCATCAAGAGACGGAAGATCAATGTGGTTGTGGAGACCTGGTGGATGAGGAAGAATAGAAACATCTGCATGAAGAACCTGTGGTGGGGTGCGGGGAGTGAAGGAGAAGGGAGTGAAGGAGAGGGGAGTGAAGGAGAAGGGAGTGAAGGAGAGGGGAGTGAAGGAGAAGGGGAAGGAAGAAGCCGGACAAGTGAGAAGAGGAACGTCAGAGAGCCGTGTGTGTCAAGAAGGTGGAAGAGTGGAGGGGGAAAGAGAGTGAGTGGGGGAAAGGGAAGAGGAAGGCTTGTGAGGAACATGAGGGTGGACGAGGGAAGGCTGCACTATGGAAACAACACGTGAATATAGAGGAAGCGAGTACAACACACACTTACTCGCCCATTTTCTAACCACTTCATCCGCTCACTGCCCACTTCATCCGCTCACTGCCCACTTCATCCGCTCACTGCCCACTTCATCTGCTCACTGCCCACTTCATCCGCTCACTGCCCACTTCATCCGCTCACTGCCCACTTCATCCGCTCACTGCCCACTTCATCTGCTCACTGCCCACTTCATCCGCTCACTGCCCACTTCATCCGCTCACTGCCCACTTCATCCGCTCACTGCCCACTTCATCCGCTCACTGCCCACTTCATCCGCTCACTGCCCACTTCATCCGCTCACTGCCCACTTCATCACTCACCTGTCGGGTTCCGGAGCAAAGCCAATGCCATAATATGTAAAGGCGGTCCAGATGATGGACGCCCAGGCAGAGAAGGGCAGCGAGAGCAGCTCCAGGGGCACAACCCACGCCCACGTACCTGCCCATTTCTTCACTCACCCACTTCATCCACTCACCTGCCCGGTTCGGGTGCGAAGCCAATGCCATAGTACGTAAAGGTGGTCCAAATAATGGACGCCCACGCAGAGAAGGGCATGGAGAGCAGCTCTAGAGGCACCGCCCACGCCCACGCGGGGTACAGAAACGCGTCCCTCTGGCGGTAGAAGACGGGCAGGCGAAAGTTGACCAGCGGGAGCTCTGTGAATCCGTTGAAGAGCATCATGACCACACCGAAGAACGTGGCGCCGAGGTAGTAGTTGCCGTCTTGCAGGGAGACGGTGAGCGTGGTGCGGAAGAAGACGGTCATGGTGACAAGGGCCACGAGGATGATCTGGATGGTCTGCGCTGCGTAGAGAATGAAGTTGCGCTGCATGAGCAGATACTCGCGGGCGAAGACTGCGCGGAACATCTCCGAGGTGGGCAGGGCGTAGCGCTTGTGCACGAGTGCGTCGGGGGGACTCTTTTCTTTCGGGTAGGCACCTGGTGGGGAATGAGGAGTGAGGGGATGGAAAAAGGGCGGGAGGAGTGGCAACGGTGTGGGGCGAAGGGAAAAGTTTGTGCGCCTGCAAATCAGCACTCGGCACGTACCGAGAGGTGGGCAGCAGTGGCCTTGCCAATCTGCGTCTCCTTGAACGCCGCCTCAAATGCCGTCACCGGCACATAGTGGTATGGCTGGCCTTTCCCGCCCGCATCACCACCCGCACCAGCCGCTCCCCCCTTCCAGTACTGCCCCTGGTCCTTCATCGACGTCACCTCCTGCAGGAAATCCGCCTCGCCTTTCCTGGCTGGGCACTCAAACCCGAGGCGGCTAAAGAATGGCAGCACGTGCTCCCTGGGCCCGTGGAACACGACGTGGCCCTCCGAGAGCAGCAGCACGTCGTCAAAGAGCTCGTAGGTCTCGGGGGCGGGCTGCAGGAGGGCGACGAGCATGGTGGCGGCGTGGAGGTGCGTGAGGTGGCGCAGGCAGCGCGTGATGAGGAAGGTGGTGGAGGAGTCCAGCCCCGTGCTGATCTCGTCCATCAGCAGCACCTGCTTGCCGCCCACCAGGGAGATCCCTGTGGTCACCCGCTTCTTCTGCCCGCCTGAGATGCCGCGCAGCATGTTGTTTCCCACCACTGTGTCCGCACAGATGTCCAGACCAAGGATCTAGAAGGAGGAGGTGGGGAAAGAGGTGGGGAAGAGGGGGGGGGAAGAATGGGGAGAGAGAGTGCCATGTGATTTCAACCTGCGGCATGTTAAACTCTCTCCTGTTACCTGACTACCTGGCACGGTTGCAAGCCAGCACGCTGCAGCTTGTCACAGAAGCCCTTATGCCTCGTAGGTGATGGTCACCACCAAGAATCAAGTTGAGCAAGAGAATATCATGAGCATGATGCTTGAGCATCACCACCAGCACACGCCTCAGTACTCAGATTGCTCAGAAACCTTCAGCTCAGCACAGGCCGCTCACCTATGGTCTCATCTCATCTCACTACCATCATATAGTCTCACCAGCACCGTCCACACCGTCCTCACCGTCCTCACCGCCTCACCTTGAGCACATAATCCGTGATGACGTTGGTGGGATTGCCCTCCAGTGCCATGGCCTGCAGGGGGGAGAGAGGAGCGACGTGGTGGGGGGCGGTGAGGGAATAGGTAGCACGGAAAGTCAGTAGCAAGGGAGCACGGCAGTGTGGACAGATGGAGATGGAGAGGGAAGGGCTACGGAGCACAGCGCATGCAAAGACAGACCGACGGAGCCACGAAGCAGATCTCCAGAAAATGGGGCAACAACAAGATCTTCCTTCAAGCCCGTTAACCTTTGTCCCACCCACCTGAACCCCATCCCTGCCACCCAGCGCACAGTCCATATCTTCATGACGGTGTATACAGTGGCGTCAGCACAATGCCCTGCTCCGAATCCCAAACCCAAACCACCCCGTCTGAATCTGATACCTGCCACCCAACACACAGCGCCATACCTTCATGATGGCGTCCATGGTTGGGTCCGGCATGATGCCCTGCTCCGCCTCTCGCCTCTCCAGCTCCGCCACTAGGTCTGTACCACAAAGGGGGGTGGGAGGGAAGGGGTGGGGGGGAGGGAGGGGGGGGAGTAAGGGGGAATAAATGGGGTACTGAGATATGGGTAGGAAGGGAGCAGTCGGAGGGTCAGGGGGGGCAAATGAAGTAGTGAGAGAAGACTGTTGGAAATGAAAGGTGGGATGCACACACAGGGCGTGGCCACACATTTTTAAATCCCAACCCCTCCGGCCCTCACACTTGCACGTTTCCGAAGGCCCACCCCTCCTCCCCCAACATGCACACACGCACCTCCCTCCTCCCCCAACATGCACACACGCACCTCCCTCCTCCCCCAACATGCACACACGCACCTCCCTCCTCCCCCAACATGCACACACGCACCTCCCTCCTCCCCCAACATGCACACACGCACCTCCCTCCTCCCCAACATGCACACACGCACCTCCCTCCTCCCCAACATGCACACACAAATGGGCGAAACGACACTGAACCCCAAACCACCCTACGCGCTCACACTCGCACCTTACCTAATCCTCAACCCCACGCCCCTCAAAAAGCCCACTCAACCCACCTTTGCGGAGCCCCGGGCCCTGCAGGCGTGCGGAGAAGTCGAGGGTCTCCCGGACGCTCATCTCTCAAACCTCAAACGCCCTCCCCTCTCTCCCCCAATAACGCGCAAACACGCACCTTTCCGAAGGCCAGGACCCTGCAGGCGCGCGGAGAAGTCGAGGGTCTCCCGGACGGTCATCTCGCCGATGTGCTCGTCGTTCTGCGGCACGTACACTGCTGTGCGCCCTGGTACAAACTCGTTAAGAGCATGCCCGTTATAGGTCACGCTGCCCGATACCTGTGATAGTGGGAAAAGGAGGTCAAGGAGGGAAGGGAAGGGGAGGAGGGGGAGAATCGCCAAGGGTTTTGAGTGTCAATGGAGGCCACCCACACCTATGTTGGCATATACCCTCAGGCCACCAAGCGTATGACGGATATATCCCACACAGTAATTTTTTTGGGCTGTCCGAGAAAAAACAATAGCAAATGTGATAAAAATACGGATTTCCCGCTACTAAGCATTTAGCCAAACTAGAAATGCCAACGGGCCGTCTAGCAGGTCGTATAGCCCAACTCCGAAGTTTTCTGCCAACGAAATCACGATTGTATCGCATTGAATCCCACTCTATCATTCGGAAATCTCAGCCGAAAGGGGTCGTCAAGCCTGACGACCCTCCGACGACTTGACGACATGCTGCCCCGGGCAGAAAAAAACTAAACCCCCATCGGATGGCATGCCATCCGAGGGAGCCTCAACCCTAAAATCCATGCCTCCCCGTGTTTAGGGTTGAGGCTCCCTGACCGGATGCATGCCCGAATGGGGTTTAGTTTTTTTTGCCCGCGGGCAGCGAGCTCCCCCGGGCGGACTCGCTTGTCCGCTGAGATATATCATTCGCTACTAACCAGCCAGCGCAACCCTAAAGACGTCATTTGTAGCTTTCAATCCCGCTTTCGTCTAGTTCCCGCTATCCCCCACTACTCCCGATGTATGCTCCGCCTCCGTACCACCCGTCGTGGGGACTGGAAATGATGCGAAGGCATGACGTAGTCAGAAAAATCTATCCCACATCTTGCCTAGGAGAAATCTCCCCCCTGGCGTATTCTGATTCCACTCTCTAGGCGAATAGCGCACATACGGTAAACGCGTCTATTCCAACTTAGGCCAGCGTCACTCTTATGAGACCCCGAAACCCCTTTTCTCATAAGCTTTTAGTGGGTTTCTCGACAGCTACTGGACGAAACACCATCGGTGATCAAATCTGCGCCATTTCCTTTCCGCGATGAAGCCTTCGATCACATCCTTTTCGGTGACCAGATCTATCCCGTTAAAAAGAGCGCACCTTGAGCGACTTGTCAAGGCAGCCCGCGAGCGCCTGCAAGAGCGTTGACTTTCCAGCGCCTGGCGGCCCCAGCAGCAGCGTCATGCGGCCCGGCCGCAGCACGCCCGAGCACCCGTGCAGGATCGGATACGGGCGGCGCGCATCCAGCTCCACGCCCAGTGAGTGCAGCGCGGCCTGAGGAGGAAGGGGAGAGGAGAGGGGGGGGGGGGGGGGGGGGGGGGGGGGGGGGGTGGGAGGGGAGGTGGTGAGGGGGAAGACGAAGATTCAAGACGAAGGTTTCTGATCGGATACGGGCGGCGCGCATCCAGTTCCACGCCTAGGTGCAGCGTGGCCTGAGTAAGGGTGGGTGTAGGGGTGGGAGGAAGGAATAAGACGAAAAAGCCAGATCGGGTGATCAGAAAGTGAAGCGCGGATGAACACATGCAACCGCGAAATGCGCGAGAAGCGGCCCGCGCGACTCACGGCCAGCGCGACTCACGGCGAGTGCGATTCAAGGCGAGCGAGAGCGATTCGCGGCGAGAGCGACTCACGGCGAGGGAGTGCGACTCACGGCGAGCGAGCGCGACTCACGGCGATCGAGTTGCGCGTGAAGTTGAGGAGCGTGGGCAGCGCGCGCGTGCCGACGTAGACGCCCGCCTCGACGTTCACGTCCTCGAAGCGCACCTCCACCGACGGCACGCTCAACCCCACGCTGCACCGCATTGCATGCCGTAGGGCCGCGCGGTTCAAGGGAGGAGGGGCGAGGGGAGGGGAGAGGAAGAGGGAACGTGAAAATACGCGCAGCAAAGTGCTTTTTAAAAGCAAACATGACATGCTAACTTTCGTGTAATCACACCGCACATTCCCACTCCACATGATCTCGCTGCAACCCGCCAACGCAATTCCGCTCAGCAACTTCTCTCAAGATTTTTTGTCATGGATGCGGCTCGGCTCCAGGCCTTCCCAACGACTCCTCGCACGCGGTTCCGCGACGGTCTGTTCCTCCCGTCTCGCAGAGAACCTCACCGGTCGAGGCGGGATTTAAGCTTCGTGAGGAACGCCTCGTTGTCCTGATCCAGCGTCTCCAGCGCGCGCTCCACCAGCCGCTCCCGCTGCGCGTGGCTCAGCGCGCGCAGATCCACTTGCGCCAGCTCCGCCGCCGCCCCCTTCTTTCCGCCGTCCGTAGCCGCGCCCGCGCCCTGCAGGCTTCCGCTTTTGGGAAGCACCGCCGTGTGCAGGCGGTCGGACGGGGGGAGCTGCTGCAGCTGCGCCCATGCTGCGGGCACCGCCGCAGGATCGCGTTTGCCTGCGACGAGCGCAACGGGATTGGACCGGGATGGAAATGATGATTAAAATAGGGTGACAGCGAAGTTCTGGGTCGACTCTTCATTCAGTTGTGAGCTAGCGCGTGCGTCGTAACGTTCGACTTCCAAAGGGTTGGTATCACCGGAATACATTGCTGAGGCAATGTTTGCAGATACAAAATTCTAGGGACGTGGTCGTACATCATATCAACCGTCGTTCTTATTCCACTTTGGCAACCCACGGCACCGCGAGCCAAGAACTTATTACACCTTACATCTTACAGAAACGACTTTTCACGGTGCATTCTTTGGTTGGGTTATACATTTTGCCATGGTGGCTAGCAACGACGGAAAAGACACTCACTGACGGGAATGTCGCCCGGCATGGCGACCGCCACAGTGATAGCTGGGATTTTTTTCGGTCACAGTACGCGAGATGGTGGGGGAATGCTCAGTGTAGTACATCAGCAAAAAGCAAGCTGGAGCAGTGTTTGAAGGAGGGGAGGTGGAGTGCAATGCAATTCGCGGCAAGCGAAGGGTGATGGATGGCTCCTTGGATTGTGTTGGGGCGTGCGCTACGATCCAAATGGCTTATCAAGAGTCAAGACGCACGGAGCCGTTGGATGAACGACACTCGATCTTGTCACTTCAGAAACTCGATGAGGCATCCGACGTGGCAATTCATAAGTGGTGCTGGGTTCTTGACCGCCTGCGACGTTGTTGCCTATGGTGTGGGAAAATCTGACGTGATCAAAGAACGAGACCCAAATCGCGCTTCGCGGGATAAAACATGCGGTGAATTTCGAGTTCTTGACTGTTCGCGCTTCGGCTTGTGGTCGAAGGTATCCTCGATGTAGGTTACCTTGAAATTACGTGCAAGAACTGCCTTGTTTTGAGCTGTTAGAATCCGCCAATGAGAACATCATTGACCCACACACAGAGTTACCCCCAAAACCCTCTTGCAGGAGGGTCCTACGGACGGGAGATTATGGTATGCCACTAATGACAGGGGACGTGTGAATGGTACATGTGACACTCTAATTGGCGCACGGTCCTATCTCTTTGCAAGGCAAAAGCTGCGCAGCAAGCACAATAGCGAAAACCAAAATTGAGCTCCTTACAGAGTGAAGTATAAAAAAGCAAGGAAGCATGCAGGAAACACATCACAGAGCTACGAAAACACACGCCAGAACAAACTCACTGAACAAACGCTGCTAGAAACATGCAATGCAAACTCTAATGCGCCCACCCTGCTTTCCTCAAACGCCAATCCATCGTCACCCCTGTACACCCTCTCCTACAGCTTCACATCACACAGTATCATTGCACGCACACTGATTGAACCGCACCAGTGCTTACCCCTGCCATCTCTGTCCCCCCCCCTGCTTTCCTCAAACCCCTTCCATCAATCCCTCCCTCCACCCTATACACACTCTCATCCAACCACCAGCTTCACACACTATCATCCCACGCACACTCATCTAACAGCACCAGGGCTTATCCCTGCCCTATGCACCCACCCATGCTTCGGCCTCCCCTCAACCCCTATACCAACCGCCCGATCCCTTTCTCTCCTACATACTCCCACTTCTCCCCCACCTAGTCATCATCCTCATCACTCCCGTTACGCAGGCACTGCCCCAGAGGCACTTCCCACTCCTCCCGCCTCCCTCCATCCCTGTTCTCCCACTTTCCCACTTCCCCCCCACCTAGTCATCATCCTCGTCCCTCCCGTTGCGCAGGCACTGCCCCAGAGGCACGCGCCTGGCGGGCCTGCCCATGCGCCCCAAGCCCAGCGCGCAGTTCACTCCGTGCACCGCCCCCCCCGTGCATTGGAAGGCATCGGGGCGCGTGACTCCTGCTGCCTGTCCCCACCCCCTGCCCACTCGCAGCACCAGCGCCGCGCTGCCCTGGCTCGCCTTCACCAGCCGCCCTGCCCCCGCCCCTGCCGCACACGCAAACTGCAGGCGGGAGAGAGGGGTTCCGCGGGAGGGGAGGATCGGGAAGAGTGAGAGCGAGAAATGGGGGAGAGAGGAAGGGCGAAGGGTGTGGGAGAGAGGAAGGGCGAAGGGTGTGGGAGAGAGGAAGGGCGAAGGGTGTGGGAGAGAGGGAGGGTGGGGCGTGGATGGAGGGCGAGGGTTGGGCGTCGGGAGATACATGCAGAGAAAAGAAACACAGGGATGCTTGATGGAATAGAGAGATAAAAAAAAAATTGGTTGTGATTGTGCATGGAATGCTGTCTATGTGGATTTTACTTTTGAGAATTCTCAAAAGTAAAATCCACGATGCTTGATGGAAGAGAAAGATGAAAAAAATTGGTTGTGGTTGAGCATGGAATGCTGGCTGTCACCTTGTAGTTCTTGCCACGAGCCTGCATGCGCGCGTAGGGGCGGGCGCCCTTGACAACGTGCAGCATGAGCTGTTCCCTCAGCATCAGTGCATCCCCTCGCACCGGTGGGGGCAGCTGTCCCATCGCCGCATCAGGAATGGCCAGCAGCGTCACTCCGCCCGCACACATCACGTCTGGGAACTCCGCCGCCAAACCTGGTGAGGCATGATGTGAGGCATGGGACACATGGGAATGGCTGGTGAGAGGGCATGTGAAATGACAAGTGAGATGACAGGTGGGGTGGCTGATGGCGTAGGGAGTGGGAGAAGGAAAGGCGGAGGCTGGGGTGAGGGAGAGGGAGAGGGAGAAGGAGAGGGAGAGGGAGAGGGAGAGGGAGAGGGAGAGGGAGAGGGAGAGGGAGAGGGAGAGGGAGAGGGAGAGGGAGAGGGAGAGGGAGAGGGAGAGGGAGAGGGAGAGGGAGAAGAAGAGGGAGACCGAGAGGGAGAGGGAGAGGGACGGCAATAGCGGCAGGACAGCGACAGGACAGGGGCAGCGCCAGCAGCGGGCCCAGCGCACCTGTCTGCTGCAGCGCACCTGTCTGCTGCAGCGCCGCGGCGAACTTGGTGAATCCGCTCTTCCGCAATCCGCTCATCAGCTTTCCCGCTTGCTTCGGCCCGTCACACGCCTGCACGTCCACGTCAGCAGCCGTCACCGCATTCGCGCTCCCCATCACCGCGTTCTTCCGCCCGCTGCCGTCGCAACTCGCAGAGCCGCTCTTGTTGCAAGTCCCCGTGCCTTTCTTCCCCTGATTCCCCCTCCCAGCGCCATTGCCGCCGCGACCACCGGGGTTGCCGCCGTTCTTGTTGCCGCTGCACGTGCCGGATTTGGCGCACGAGCCGTCGCGCTTCCTGTCGCGGTCCTGGTTGCCCGTGCCGTCCCGCTTGCGATCCTGATTGTCGGCAACCGCGAGGCCGACGAGAAGCATTGCGAGGACGGCTATAACGAGGATGTTCTTCGATGCCATGGCTGTTCACGTCGGCTCAAGCGGTATAGGGAACACCGAGAAACTCGAATGGGTGAGTACGAAAAAGAAGCTTGGGCGATTTGAAGCGATTGAAAGTTCTGTTCTGCTTGAGAACATATCTGCTGATCCCAAATCCTCCATGGCTTTTGTAGGCATGCGTTCAAGGGCGCGCTTTGCAATCGGACCGCGGAGGTATGAACAGACGAGACGGATTCGCCCGGACTTGTCGCCCTCGAGGCGCAGGCGGTTCGGGAGGAGAATGGTCCCGCAAACGACAACGCTTCAGGCGAAACGAGAGCGACTAGCGACAGTGAATACAGCGGCGGAAGGAAGTCGCCTGCGAAGCTACTCCTAGACCAGTACAGTTCACAGTTAGCGACCAAGAGGGGGGCCTGGGGAAGGTGATTCGACCGTCGGAAAGGGAAGGTGAAGGCGAAATGGCGGGCTGACTGGTGCATGGAGGGCTTGAACTGTAGTTAAACACCTACGCCCATCTTCACAATTATACTTTCAGGCGGGCCATTACAATGGAGACTAGTTGGACATATTGATACCCGGTTATGGCCCCACAAACATGGAAAACGCGGCCACATAAATACATTTTGAAATTGTTTTGATTAATATACTTTATGACCATATGGTCGTAACCGGTATGCTCGTATCATACAATATGCCTTGTGAAGGAATCGAGATTTTTAAATTCTTTTGGCACTGTTACGGCACCTGTTTCTTCTTTGATACTGGATTAAGACCCTAGGATGGCTTATAATTGTTTCTTTTTGTTAAAACATTTTTTAAGAAATTCAGGCGAACGGATATTGTTATGAAATCAAGAATTAGTGTGCGTGGTTGTGCTTACCACCACTTTCCGCAGGGCAATCGCTTCTCATCCCAACCTCCTGTACTCTCCCTCCCTGCCATTTCCATACAATACCATTTAGTTCACTTCGGTGCTTTACCACTCACAAGAGCCTTTCGCCAGCAACCTCGGTGAGAAGCAGAGCGTTGGGAAGCTCCTCACAGCAGCGTTCTATCCATTCACTGTCGCACTGCTGGGCATGTGTCGACACATCGCACTGGTAAGTTACCTTTTTTAAACTCGGGGCGAGTCCCGATCGAACTCATTGACGCAAGGCTTCTGTTCTCTCCCGTCTGGTGTTTCTCTTGTCCGCGTGTCAGCTCCACGCGGTCTCTGCATTCGTGTTTATCGGTTTTTGGCCTAATCGGTCCGGTTGTCTGAGTTGGGGAGTGAGGAACAAATTTATACCAACACTTGGATTGAGGTGCAGCGACGCTGCAGTGAAACCTAAAATATTACCGCGTTATCGTACTGACCCCAACCACTAGCCTGTGATAACTTCTAAGAACCCTACTCCCATCTGCGGTTGTCCGCATGCTAGCTCCACAATTTTGTTACATCAGTGCGTTCGTTCTTTTCGGTCTCATCGGTCGGTTATTTGACTGAGTTGGGGAGTGAGGAGCCGTTTTATACCAACACTTGGATTGAGGTGCAGCGATCGCCGCAGTGAAACGGAAAATTTAATGGCGATATTGTACCGACCCCAACCACCAGCCTGACAGGTCTTGCCTGTGACGTATGTTGAGAACCCTTTTTTGAGTGTCTCCGGTTTTCGTCTTCACTGCATTGTCTTCTTTTTTTCGTTGTTTTGACGCCGTTGGTTCGCAGCAGCTGCATGATGAAATTCTTTCACATGTCAAAGCCTTAGGACACCTTCTGACGTGGCTGAAGCTGCGAATGAGAAGAATTGACGCCTGATGGCTGTGCGACGCTGATGGTTATTATCTCTTAGTGTCAGGTCTTAAGATCTCTTGCGTATGTCCGAGGTCCAGGCTCTCTGCGGATGATCAAACAATACTTTCGTTCTTCTGAGATTGTCCAAAATCGGGCACTGAAGAAGCACATTGGAGACCTGAACTGAAGAGAGCCGTCCAACGTATCCCTTGTTCCGTTACTCTTTTTCCCGCGCCTTTTTGTTTCGTGCTAGTACGCGAGAGAATGACGAATACAGAGATGCGCAACCGAGCTACCCAGTTGGGTGGCATTGACGAGTGCAATTCTGTTGCCTTCCTACTGACTCTCCTTCCGTCTTTGTCTCCAATGCGCGTGTTTTATAAATGTGTTTTTTCCAGCAACTTTTTTGCCGCTGCGTGTATTGTTATGCTGAGCTAAGCACGCATAAACGCGTGAGGTGATGATGATTCCAGAGACTTGCAACAGAGACGCCCAGTGACGATTGGGTGCAGTGACGACTGTTTAGCTCTGTTGCCCTCTGCTGACTCTCCGTCCATCCCCCTCATGAAACCAAAATGCATGTGTTTTTGTTTTTTGTTTTTTTTTTTTGTCATGTTTGGTTATCCTCCAGAAATCTTGGTGACTTTATTTTTGAAGGCAGTCGTGAGGTATCTCCTAACCTGGTCTGCCTGATTCGCACCAAGTAGAGCAGCGGCACGGCTGGGTGAGGCGGGCGCCGTGGCACCTCCTGTGTCTCCCTCACGGTTGAAGACGAGGAGACCCACTTCCGTGCGCCAAAGCCTCAATCGCTTCGCAACACTTCGAACGTTCTAAACTGACCTGATTGTTCTCTTTTTTTTTTTAATATATGTTTCGATTGGTTTACAGATGGATCTGACAGGATTGCTTCGCTTCGGTGAGCAATGACAGCATTTCTGCCTCATCCGGCCTCGCCCATCCTAAGCCGACGCATCGCATGGAAGCTGGCTTCGGCCCCTCGTCTCCTTTGGAGGCACTTCGCGGACGCCCGAGGTACATTCTTCCCCTCGACTCGCCACGTGTGATACTCTTCACAGGTCTCCACCACATGTTGTTCACGTTGTACGGTATATGTGGTATTTTTATGGGGGAGTGACGAATAGTATTGAGTTTTGCAAATCGGAGCGCGGGTGGCTCGCCATGCCCCGCAATGACCGGATAAAATTGCTGCGTTCTTTCTGACCCCCAGCTACCGCAGCGTGACTCCCTGATGCCCATGATGAATCTAATGCTTCTCTCACTTGCATGCCTACCAGATCTCCGTTTCCTCTCTTTCCCCGTTCCCCACCTTTTCCCTTCTTTCCCCACCCTCTTCTCGCATCTTATCATCTCGGCGAAATTCTCCGTACAACCTCTCCGTGTGTCGTGGAGTGAGATTGTCCCAAGTGCCGAGTATACCAACCCAATCGGGGGCTTGACTGAACCCTTGCCATTGCTGCAACTGTTCAATTGGTCTCCTGCTGGCACATGTCCGTGGCCCATCTTTAACGGTTTCCGGTATTTCTCCCTCTTCTGTTCGGTGCTCAGGTGTGCAGGAGTGTTGCCCGCGACTCATGTATGGTGCCATATCAGCCCGTTCGGCATGACATCGCAGCTTCGTCTCACCTAAGGGTGTTAATAGGCTGCCCTGCAAATGCACTTATGCGATTTTATTTGGCGAATGCTCTGAATTCGGAGGTTAGTTTTCGAAGGTAAATCCTCTTGCTGCTCTTCCATTGCGGAACCTCTTTTGCATTCGCTTTCTGGACGCAGATTTCTACAATGGCTCGGATGGGTTTCCCCTGTGAGAGAGCTTCCCTGCTGTGATCCAGACATTACTCAGCTTTGTGCTGACGTGGCTTACAATGCGAGGCGTCATTCCCTGTTGACGCGCTGGTTTCGCTTGGTCATGTCATACGCGTCTGTACTCGCCCCGTTTCACAAAGCAAGTGTTGCACTATACCCTAACTCTTCCATGCTGCATTTCCCATCTGCAGGTCAATCCGCTGATGTCTGGCCACCGACCACAATCTGTTTTGCTACCAAGAGGAATCGGGAGCTGGTTTGGAGGTGCGTTATCGGCTAGAAGTTAAGTCGCCAGCTTTGGCTTGCCAGGGTGGGGTTGAACAATCCACACCTTCCTCCAAGGCCCCTTGGGGTCTGGGCAGTGGGACGAGTGGCTGAAACAACCCCCACACCATCCGTGGCTCCATCAGCTTGTGTTCTCAGTAGGATACGTCCTCATAGGATCACGAGTTAAATACTGTCACGACAGTATCTCATGTAATGCTCATTCTGGCTGCTCTGCTGATGCGTACAATTCGAATTGTGGTTGCAGGCCAAACTTATCTGGGGTGGATAGCCTAGTGCTGCATGTTTATGGAAGGCATTCGTTTTTCCATTGTATCAGGCTGGTGTAACAGCGTGGACTTGTTTGGCCATGATAATATGGTATGTCTAAACCCTGACAAAATAGTCAAACTCTAAACATGGATCAGGGAATTTCAGTACAGACATGTGGTGGTGGTTGACGTGGATGTGCTTGTGTATACTGGTATGCCTGGTTGGAGCCTAAGGGTTTGTTGTGAAGTCAAACTGTTGGGCTGAGACAGCCCTTAGGATCTTTTGCAGGGGTAAATTCGGGGTAGGATAATTGTAATAGCGGAAGCGTTTAATAAAGAAGTTGTGAACCACCTTGCGCTGGTATGTGAGGGCAAAGTAAGTTTACTTAAAGCAAAGAGATACAAGCATTTATATATGAGTACAAGGAATATGAAAGGATACAGTTGTAACTACTTTACTGTTGCTGTTGCGGTTCGATACAGTGACGACTCGGGCAACTGCTCTGTAGCGAGTCAGTTGTGTGTCCTTGCTGTCGCGCTGTATTTGTCAGGTCAAAGGTCGCTGACCTTTGACTTTCGCGTAACCTCCAGCAACCTCTTTCAACCTCCGAGGGTTGACTCGCGCGTGCCTCGATATGGTTTGCCTCGCTTCTGGTGTGATGTTTCGACACGACAGAGGCGCTTTAGGATTTACTGTTTCCAACACTCCCCTTCGCTTCTGGAGTGTCGCTGCTGATGACGTGGCCTTGTCCAGTCAGCAGCATGCAGTACTCGAACTTCTGCTTTCCGAGCTTCTTGGTCAAATAGTCGGCTGCCATCATTGTCGGAATCGCCGGCGTGATCGGCATCGACATAGCCGATTAGCTTAGTCGGTGTAGTTGCGTTCTTGTGATACGTTAGGCCGATCGTTGAGGTGCTGACGAAGTAGTGGAGAGCGCGGTCGAGCTCCGCTAGGTGCTCTGCTTCGGGTCTTTTGAGGTAGGTGGCGAGTTGGCTTGCGGAGTAGGATAGGTCTGGGCGACAGGTGACGGCTGCGAAGAGAAGACATCCCAGCTTTCTCTGGTAGTCGCGAATGCCGGCAGGCTTGAGTAGAGCGGATTCTCCCTTGTTGTTCCCTGTCGTGTAGCGATATGGTGTGGAGATGGCGGTTGGTGTAAGAGCGAAACGCTTGGCGATGGTGTCGGCGTATTTTGCGGCGCTGAGGTAGATCGCGTTGTCCTCTTCTCGGATGTTAAGCCCGAGGTACTGTGTGACGGTGGATGAAACCGTGAGCATGAGGTCTCGCTGCAGCTCCCCTTCGAACCAGGTGGTGATGCCGTCGGACGAGCCGATGTAGAGGAGGTCGTCTACATAGACGATTAGCAGGACGTAGTCGTCGTTCTTCGTGAGCCGGTACATCCCCTGATCGTGGGGTAGTTATTTGAATCCAATGCGGATGAGACGGGCGTGTAGGTACTGCTGCCATAGCCGCGGGGCTTGCTTAATCCCGTAGAGCGATTTCAGTAGTTGACAGACCTTCTTCGGCTCTCCGTTAGTGCCATGTGGGAGTTCGACGAAGATCTCCGCGTCGACAGGTGCGTAGAGAAACGCGTTGGCGACATCGATCTGTCGTAGCTTCTTCTTCTTCATGGCGGCGATCGCGAGAAGAATTCGGAGTGAGGTGTGTCGGCTGACCGGGGCGAATGTCTCGGTGAAGTCCCGTCCGTGCTCCTGATCGAATCCACGTACCACCCAGCGTGCTTTGAACTTCTCAATTGTGCCGTCTGCTTTCGTTTTGACGCGGAAGACCCATTTCCCGGTGAGAATGGTCTTGTTTCTTGCCATGCTGATGGGAACGACTTTCCAAGTGTTCCGTTCCTCCAGCGCTTTTAATTCTCTGTCCATGGCTTCACGCCATTTCTCCCTGTGTTCCCCCCCCAGAGCCTGCTGAACCGTGGCAGGCTCCTTAGGAATGGCTGAGCCCTGGACTGCGGTGACGAGGCCGAGAATTTGCAGTCCACTCTGTGAGTAGCGGGGGAGTGTGGTGTCCTCGGGATAAACAGCTTCGTCTCCTGTTTCAGGTGTTGGATTGAAATTCGGTCCTACTCGTTCTGCTTCGTTGGTGTTGACCCGTGCAGGTGTAACGTAACCGTTGTCGGCGAATTCGTAGAAGACTTCGGCGTTGACGCTTTCGCGAGGATTGTCTTCGTCCATTGGGATGTCCACGGAGCAGTAAGGGAGAGGTCCGGCTGCTTCCGAGGCTCCCTCCACGTTCTGCTCGTCCCAGTCAGCTTCGTCTTCCGCCGAAGCGAAGGCTCGGTGCCCATGAAATCCGCCCGAGAGGTCAGGTCTGTTTTCTTCGATGTACATGAGGTGAGTTCCGAGGGTGAGGTGTTCGTAGAAAATGACATCACGTGCTGCTACTGTTTCCTTGCTGTTGATGTCGAAGATTTTCCACGCGTTGTAATGTTTTGCGATGCCCAGGTGTAGTCCCCACTGTGCGCGTTGAGAGAATCGCCCAGCTCGTGCAGATGGAGGTCGGTACTGTACCATGCAGCCGAAGACTCTCAACATTTTTGTGCTGCCCAATTTTCCTGTCCACAGCAGATGCGGTGATGCGTTGTTCGGGAGCGATGATGACGAAAGCAAGTTGTGCAGCATGACGGCGTGGTCCATCGCTTCGGGCCACTGGTGGTTGGGCAGGTGCATGCCACGCAGCAGCTTGCGCATGGTGGCTTGCAGCGTCCTGTTCATCCTTTCTGCTACGCCTTGCTGTTGGTGAGCGTAGGGAAGGGAGATGAGCCTCTTGATTCCTCTTTCTGCCAAGTACTGCTTGAACCTCTGTGAGGTGTATTCTCCTCCCCGTTCTGCGACTGGAAGCCAGGCGACAAAGGCTTCGAAAGCCATGTCGCGACTTGGAAGGTTTAGGTGCCAGACATATCGAGTTGCGGCGTCGATGAAGGTGATGGTGTAACTGTAGGCGTTTTGTCCGGGTTCACGGTTGTATAAGATGTCGCTGTACACCTTTTCGAGAGGTGTGTACGCAGGTGCGCTTGGATTGTGATGTGAGACGAACGGCTGATGCGGTAAGTCAGCTTCAGGGCAAGTGAAGCACGTTCCACGGGCTCGTTGAAGTTCTCTGCCGTCGGTCAGTAGAAGTGAGTCTTTGTCGAGCACTCCTGCTCTTATCGTGTTGTTTAACACTGTGTTGCTTGGATGTCCCATTCTTGCGTGCCAGGTACCTTCAGTGGCGCGATGTCCGGGTGATCTCCGATACAGATCCGAGTTGGAGTAGAAGCCGGCAGTGACGTTGGTGCTTCGGTGGACTTCTCGTGGTGCCGGTTTTAACTGTTGTGCGGGTGTCGGTGGCGAATCGTCGATGAAGATTGGTGCCGTTGAAGGACCGGCGATTGGTGTCGATGTTGCCGCTGCTGCTGTCGTTGTCTCTGCTGCTGCCGATGTTGTCTCTGCTGCTGCCGATGTTGTTGCTGCTGCTGCCGATGTTGTTGCTGCTGCTGCCGATGTTGTTGCTGCTGCTGCCGATGTTGCTTGAATTGTCGCTAACGCTCTTGTTCGTTCTGTTTCAGGGATCGTGTGAGAGTGCCAGAAGCCGCCGGGGCTGAAGTCTGGGTCAAGATCTGGAGGATGTGTCCAAGGAGCAAAGCTGACGATGCCGTCGCTGTCAGCGGTGCCAAGGTCTGGTACGAAATCAAGAACGAAGACGTTGTTCTTGAGGATCGCCTTTCCGATGTAGAGGCCGCCCTTTCCGTGGTACAGCTTGAACTCCTGGGTGGTGCTGTCTGCTTCGAGGTGAATGCCTTTCGCCATCAACTGACTGACGCTCAGTAAGTTATAGCCGAGACCTTCTGCGATTAAGACCTTGGTCATTTGTAGAATGACACTTGTTTCTCGTGACTGAAGTTGTACCACGCCTTGTCGCCGTGTGCGCAGGTTCTGGTTGTTGGCGACGGTGATGACTACTTCACGTTGGAGTTGATACTCTCGTTGTACGAAGCGTCCTGAAGAGCACATGTGCTGTCCGCAGCAACTGTCCAAGAACCATGTGTCTTTCCCGGATGGCTCACTCTGGGCGATGGCGGCGTATGTCGGGTTTGGCTGCAGTGACTCGCGGCGGGGTGTGCTGTTGTCGAGCTGTTCTTCCGGTGAGTAGTGTGGTGGTGATTCAGTGACGCAGGAGTCGGTCAGTTTTGCCATACAACTGACGATGTTTCTTGTTCCTTGTGCAGGTTGTCCCGCAGATTGTCTTGTGCAGGCTTGAATCTGGGTCGTGGGGTTTGCTTATGTTGAGGCAACTTGGCTGCTTGAGGGTCGAAGCTGTCGCTGTTGTGGCGTTGGCTGTTGTCGATTTGGGCAGTGCGTGCGTGGGTGCCCAGACGTCTTGCAGATGTGGCAGAACGGAGGTACGGGTTTTGGTTGTTGTCGGTTGCTGTTGTTGTTGTATCGTCGCTGAGTGTGAAACGCGAATTCCGGTACTGATGTCTTTCTCTTGTGTCGTTCTTCTTGCAGGTCCATGTCTTGCTGCTCAGCATGTATTTCGGCGCAGAGCGCTGCTTCGGAGATTCTTCCGTGGGCTCGGAGAATGGCTTTTGTTGCGCGCCATTGAGGACCGAGGCCGCCGATGATGACTGTCACGAAGGCGTCTTCAGAGATTGACCCTCCGCATCGAAGAAGCTTGTCGCGCAGTTCGCGACATCGGCTGACATATGCCATTCCCTTTTCGCCTGGTTTCATTTCAACCGTTGTCAGTTGCGCCATTAGCCGACTTTGACTGACGCTGTCTGTTGCTTGATACAGGTCCTTCAGGTGCTTGTACGCGAGTTCCGCGGAGTTGCCGAATCCCCGGTAAGACCGTATGTTCTGCTGCTGAGTTGGGGTGATATTTCTCAGTAGGATCGTATACGCCATCATCGACTGATATGTGTACTGCTGCTTCTCATACTGTGTGCCGTTTGTTGGGTATGGTACAGACCCGTCGAAGAAGCCAAGTATCTGCGCGCCTTCCATCATCAGCTCGAATTCGAAAGACCAGGTAAAGAAGTCTTTTCCGTCGAAGGGCCTTGACGTCTGCAGTTTTAAGACGTGCGCGAATTGCGACTGTACTTGTAGTGCATCCAGTTGTCTTTCTTGTCCAGATGGAGCTTGCGGCATGAAGCTGATGGACCCGCGTTCATACGGAGCAAAGGTAGGTTGTTGCTGATTTCCGCGCGCATATGATGAGCCATCAAGACTCATTGGAGTCACGTTGTTGTTGTTGCTATTGTTTGACTGCGCAGGTGCCGACTGCTGGTGTTGCTCGTAAAACGACATGAAGGAGAAGAACTTCTCCATCATACTCTGGTCGAAGTTGGCAGGCTGGCTGGCCGAAGGCGCTGCTGGTCCCGTTGCGGTTCCTTCCTCTGTCTGCAGGCCAGAGGCAGGAGGTGGGGTAGGAGTAGTCCCGGGAGAACCATTAGAGGAACTCCTCTCCTTGTATGTTGCCATGTCGTCTGTTGATGATTTGACAGTAGTTGAATTTCCCCTGATAGCTCTCATACCATGTTGGGCTGAGACAGCCCTTAGGATCTTTTGCAGGGGTAAATTCGGGGTAGGATAATTGTAATAGCGGAAGCGTTTAATAAAGAAGTTGTGAACCACCTTGCGCTGGTATGTGAGGGCAAAGTAAGTTAATTAAAGCAAAGAGATACAAGCATTTATATATGAGTACAAGGAATATGAAAGGATACAGTTGTAACTACTTTACTGTTGCTGTTGCGGTTCGATACAGTGACGACTCGGGCAACTGCTCTGTAGCGAGTCAGTTGTGTGTCCTTGCTGTCGCGCTGTATTTGTCAGGTCAAAGGTCGCTGACCTTTGACTTTCGCGTAACCTCCAGCAACCTCTTTCAACCTCCGAGGGTTGACTCGCGCGTGCCTCGATATGGTTTGCCTCGCTTCTGGTGTGATGTTTCGACACGACAGAGGCGCTTTAGGATTTACTGTTTCCAACACAAACAACAATCAGGCTCCCATGCCAATGTCAATCTGTATACCGTAGATACACTGATGCCAGGGTCATTGTTGCACTAATGGCATGAAGATGCGTCATACACTGCTCACGGAGGGTCATTGCTGTACTGTACATACATGAAAGGTCATGCTGCAATTGAATTGATGGCATGCTTTCTCACTGACCATCACAAGGTCGTACCATAATTAGGGACTGATGCATCAGGTGATTGCATAAACTAATGGCATCAGGGTGACTGCCGTACATAGACTGCGGATGGAGGGGTTATTGCCGAACATGGACAGACGCCACAAGGCCGGCACCCATGATGTTGATGTCATCGATGATGGCAGCAACATTGACCACTCCGCATGGCAGCTGGTGCGTGCAGAGTGTGAGGGGAGGAAAGAGCAGCTGGTGAGAGGGGATCGTGAGGGAGGGAGAGAAAGGATAAGCATTGCAGGATTGGCGGGAGGGTGAAGGGGGAAGTGTGGTAGGGAGGGGAGAGTGTGGAAGGGAGGGGAGACGGTGGAAGGGAGGGGAGACGGTGGAATCAAGGGGAGAGTGTGGAACTGAGAAGAGGAAGTGGGGCGGGTGGGAGGGGAGAGTGTGGAAAGCAGGATGGAGCATGGAAGGGAGGGAACAGCCTTACTCTTACCTGATCCACCTACCCGTACACTCTTAAAGCCAGGATCTCAAGTAAAAGAAATTGAGATCAATTGCAAAACAGTTGACGCTGAGTTACCCCGCTTTTGTAGGTGAAGTAGACTGGTTGGCTAGGCAGTTTGACGTGCGACACTCTCAAGTTTTTGCCCCAGGACCAAATGCAAAACAATTTCAGAGACATGAGACTGTCGGCAAATTTCAGGCATTCTAGCTTCGGATCCGAACCGAACTCCATGCCTACAAGGTTCGGACACCCTTGCACCTCGTCAACCAATCGCAGCCAACCTCCAACCATCAACTGCAAAACATTTGTGGTACTCGAGCTCCTGGCTTTAAAGGGCCAAGAGGGTGGAAACGGATAGCAGCAGGTGCAGTGACGGCAGCAGGTGCTCTTCAGCTTTGTTCCAAACCAAGAATCTTACACCTTGCTCCATCCGTCTCAACAGTCCATCCACCTCCATACCCCCATTTCTCACCTATACACGTGCTCCCTGACCCCCTCTTATTACGCCCCCCTCTCTCACCACTGCTATGCCTTGAAATCCTCACTCGCCGTACCTCTGTTTCACACTGCTGTGCGTACCCCACCATATAAGCACACAGTAGCTTGTACCGTCCCTCTCTCTGAACGTCGAGTGAGCGTCCTACCTCTCTCGCGGACTGCGGGGAGCACGGCAGCAGGTGGGCTTGCTGGGCCCGGTGGGGAAGACACGGGGCAGCAGCACCACCATCAGCAGATGCACCAATCGGAATGCGCCACGTGGCACCGATCACCTCGCTCCCACACAGGCCGTCATAAAAGAACGTGAGCACCGAGCCAAACCGTTCCTGCGGATTACGAATAGCACGGAAGGGAGAGCAGCAGGAAAATGTCACTCTCTAGTTCCCTTGCCCTGACCGCCTCACTCCCCCACAGGGTATTGTAAAACATGAATGCGCGCATCGAGACAGCATCGGATGATTGCTGACGCACAAAGAGACGGCAATGCAGGCAGATGAAACGGCTCACCTGCAAGTGTGTGAGCAGCAGAGCCGTGGGATTAAAGCCGATGAGCAGTGGAGGCCCGGCAGAGGCGAGTCGGTGCAGAGAGGGGGCGAGGGCGGTTGAGGAAGAGGGGTCGGCAGGAGCGAGGGAGGATGGCACTTGCAACCAGCCTGCGAGTACACGACCGTTGCACAACACACAATGGCCACGGCACAGGCACACAGTAGTGAGATGCTTGTGTCGGCTGCGGTATGGCTGTTGAGTGCAGAACAAGCAGGCACGGTTTGAGGTGGCGACCAGCTTTGTGTCTGCTTGCATGAGCCCTTTGGGAGTTACCATCTATGTGCCTATGATCGCATGGGTGAAGTGCACGCGGTGGTGGAGGGGAGGGGAAGTTAGGGGATGGTAGAAAGCGAGCTTACCCTTGGCCGTGCTCAGAGCCTTGTGGGCGGGGAAGAGCACACGGTGGTGGTGGGGGAGGGAGGCAGGGTCCAGGCGGATGATGAGGTCGAATGTGGTGGAGAGCGGTGAGAGGAAGAGTGACTGCAAGCAGGAGAGAGGGGCAAGGCAAGAAAGAAAAGTGGGCTTGTGGGAGAGAGGGGAGGGTGGGAGAGAGGGGAGGGTGGGAGAGAAGGGGAGGGTGGGAGAGAAGGGGAGGGTGGGAGAGAGGGGAGGGTGGGAGAGAAGGGGAGGGTGGGAGAGAGGGGAGGGTGGGAGAGAGGGGAGGGTGGGAGAGAGGGGAGGGTGGGAGAGAAGGGGAGGGTGGGAGAGAAGGGGAGGGTGGGAGAGAAGGGGAGGGTGGGAGAGAAGGGGAGGGTGGGAGAGAGGGGAGGGTGGGAGAGAAGGGGAGGGTGGGAGAGAAGGGGAGGGTGGGAGAGAGGGGAGGGTGGGAGAGATGTTGTAATTTCATAATTTGTACAACATACATAGGCTAGAATTAGATCTGTAGTACACTTATAAATTGGGGGGTTGTTTAGTGTACCCTCCAACCACATTTTGTGGTTGGTTGGGATTGGTCCCTAGCTCAACCAATCCCAACCAACACACATTTGTGGTTGCTTGGGTCACAAGCAAGCTCACCCATTGGCCAACTTATTGGCCAATAGGGTAAGCTTCCCTTTCATCTCTCTCTTGCTCATTGTTTGTACTAAAGGGCCTCTTGGCTCATTATTCAATGTATCTCTTCTAGCTTTTCAACATGGTATCATGAGCTATTGGCTCACGCCTTAATCCCTCGATCCTAAGGCCACCCTCTCCTCCCCGTCCCTCAGACCTAGTCCTACTACGGTGCTCCCAAGCTCAGATCTACTCCTCTCGAGCTCCGATCTACTCCTCCCGTTCTCACATCTACTCGTCCCAAGCTCAGATCTACTCCTCCCAAGCTCACATCTACTCCTCCCGAGCTCAGATCTATCCCCCCCGAGCTCAGATCTACTCCTCCCGAGCTCACATCTACTCCTCCCGAGCTCAGATCTACTCCTCCCGAGCTCAGATCTACTCCTCCCGAGCTCACATCTACTCCTCCCGAGCTCAGATCTACTCCTCCCGAGCTCAGATCTACTCCTCCCGAGCTCACATCTACTCCTCCCGAGCTTAGATCTACTCCTCCCGAGCTCACATCTATTCCTCCCCGTTCCTCAGATCTAGCCCCACCCACGGAGCTGCCCTCCCTTCACGCACCCTTAAGGCGCTGTCCTCCCTCCCCGTGCGCCCCCTAAGGCGCTGCCCTCCAAGGCACGTCCAGATCTGCAACTCCAGCGCCCAGATCTGCATTCCCCGCGCTCAGATCTGCAACTCCAGCGCCCAGATCTGCATTCCCCGCGCTCAGATCTGCAACTCCAGCGCCCAGATCTGCACTCCCTGCGACCAGATCTACTCCTCCCGCGCCTAGATCTGATCATTCCGCGCCCAGATCTGGATTCCGCGCCACCAGATCTCCTCCTCCCGCGCCCAGATCTGAACATTTCGCACCCAGATCTGCACTCCGCGCGCCCAGATCTGCCCTCCGCGCGCCCAGATCTGCCCTCCGCGCGACCAGATCTGCATCTCCCGCGCTGAAATCTGACCATTTCGCGCCCATCTCTGCTCGTCCGCGCCCTGCCCGTCCGCACGCCCTGCTCGTCCGCGCCCTGCCCGTCCGCACGCCCTGCTCGTCCGCGCCCTGCCCGTCCGCGCGCCCTGCTCGTCCGCGCCGTGCCCGTCCGCGCGCCCTGCTCGTCCGCCCTTCGCGTCCGCGCCCAGCCCGTCCGCACACCCTGCTCGTCCGCGCCCTGCCCGTCCGCACGCCCTGCTCGTCCGCGCCCTGCCCGTCCGCACGCCCTGCTCGTCCGCGCCCTGCCCGTCCGCGCGCTCTGCTCGTCCGCGCCCTGCCCGTCCGCGCGCCCTGCTCGTCCGCGCCCTCCCCGTCCGCGCACTCGTCGCACGCCCTCCTTCCCCGCTCGCTGTCCCCCGTCCCCTCGTCCGCCCCCTGCCCACCTCCCCGGCATACCGCACATTTGCAAACGCATACCGCACACCTTCATGCCCTGCTCGCCTGCGCCATGCCGTAACCGCCCACACTCACATTGCTCCCTCCATGGCAATAGTCGCCCTGGCATGCAGCAGAAGTGGTGCCGGTGGGCATGGAGGAGGGCATAGTGGTAGCTGTGGTGGTGGTCAAGGGAGACTCGCAGGATATTGTGGTATCAGGGGTTTGAGCGCAGGCTGCGGCGCAGCAGCAGCCTTCTCTCCTCGTGAATATGTGCCTCGCTATGGCCCGACTCGGGGACTTCAGTGCAAAATCTCCACCCAAGCCCACCATGCCCCGAGTCCACCCTTCTCTCCTCCTCCTCCTCAGCAGCAGCAGCAGCAGCAGCAGCAGAAGCAGCAGCAGCAGCAGCAGCAGCAGCAGCAGCAGCAGCAGCAGCAGCAGCAGCAGCAGCAGCAGCAGCAGCAGCAGCAGCAGCAGCAGCAGCAGCAGCAGCAGCAGCAGCAGCAGCAGCAGCAGCAGCAGCAGCAGCAGCAGCAGCGCAGCGGCAGCGGCAGCGGCAGCGGCAGCGGCAGCGGCAGCGGCAGCGGCAGCGGCAGCGGCAGCGGCAGCGGCAGCGGCAGCGGCAGCAGCGGCAGCGGCAGCGGCAGCGGCAGCAGCAGCAGCAGCAGCAGCAGCAGCAGCAGCAGCAGCAGCAGCACCGGCAGCAGCAGCAGCAGCAGCAGCAGCAGCAGCAGCAGCAGCAGCAGCAGCAGCAGCAGCAGCAGCAGCAGCAGCAGCAGCAGCAGCAGCAGCACCAGCACCAGCAGCTCTGGCACCTCCTCCTCCAGCTCCAGCAGTTGCTTCACCGCCTGCAGCAGCACCTTAGCGCACAAGCGCAGCTGCCTCTTCCTCCTCCTCCCCCAACTTCCCAGCAGAACTCAGTTCCGCATTGTTCCACAAGCTCCGCCACTTCAAGCAATGTCCCACCTCTCTCATCCGTTGGTATTGCTGGTATGGTCAATCAAGCCACATCAGCTGCCCCTGCCACATACTCCTCTAGCACTAAAGAAACTGCGTTCCAGTCCTCTGTCCCTTCCTCCTCCCTCCCCTCCACTGTCGACTTTGTCCTTGACAGCGGCGCCACTGACACAGTTCTTCGCGATGCTGGCACCTTGCGCCCCCTCCCAACGCCTACCTCCCTCCTTGGCGCCGATAGCAGCTTCTCTATCCCCTGCCATAACACCTCGACTCTCCCCTGCCCACTCTTCCCCTCAGGCACTGTCACCGGTCTCCACATACCCTCTCTTCGCGCTAATCTCCTCTCGCAAAGGTCCCTTCAACAAGCCGGTATCACCACAGTATTCCCAGCTTATGCTAACTATTGCGCTCTCTACCATTCCGCCACCGGTCAGTTCATTTCTCGCATTCCATTTTGCCCTCGCTCCCGTCTGTACACCCTTCGTGTTCCTCGCCTCCCCTCCTGTCAGGTCATCTCTCGTCCTCCCCTCCACCCTCTCATCCCACCCCCTCCTCTCCCTCCCACTAACCCGGACCTCCCTTCACGCCCCCCCCCTGACTCCTCTTGCTCCTGTCGCTCCCTCTCCCACCCTGCCGTCCTCCTCCATCACAGGCTAGGTCACCCTAACTTCGCTACTCTACGCTCCTCTGTTTCCTCCGGTCTCCTCCATGGTCTCCCCTCCTCCCTCCCTCCTCTCCCCAAATCCCCTGCCCCTCCCTGCACCGTCTGCGTTCAGAGCAAGCTCAAGCAGCAGCCGCACCGGAGCTCCCCCTCCGCTGCTGCTCAGCCACTTGATCTTGTTCACATGGACCTCTGGGGCCCCAATCCCTCTCCCACTCGCCAGGGCCATCGATACCTCCTCGTACTCGTCGATGATCACAGTCGGTACTCGTCCGTCTCTCTCCTTCGGACGAAGGCAGATGCCCCGGCTGCGATCATCGCCTGGCTCGAGCGAGCAAACACCCATTTTGGGCGCCCTGTTCGCCGCCTTCACTCTGATGGTGGTGGTGAGTTCCTTAACAACCAAATATCCTCCTATTGCCAGTCTCATGGCATTCTTCAGACTTACACCCTCCCTCACTCCCCACAGCAGAACGGTGTGGCTGAAAGTCGTGTTCGAGAGATCACCAAAACTGCCCGGTGTCTCCTTGTCCACGCCTCCTGCCCTCCTTCTCTGTGGGGCTACGCCCTCCTTCATGCCGCCCTGCTTACTAACCTTTACCCTCACCCTCTTCTCCCATCCACCACCCCCACTGAGCTGTGGACGAACAACAAGCCTGATGTCTCATCTCTTCGTGTCTGGGGCTCAAAGGCTTATGTCCTTCTTCACCCCGCTGACCGCTCCCGTTCTATGGGAAAGCTTGCCCCTCGTACCCTTCCCTGCATCTTTCTTGGTCATAACTCCTCCTCACCTGACTACCTTTTCCTCCATCCCCCCTCAGGTCGTCTATTCCGCAGTAGGGATGTGGTCTTTGATGAGTCCACTCCTTACTACTCCTCTCCCCCATCCACTGACCCACTCCCCCGTCTTCCCCGTCCCCTTGTCTGGTCTGACACCACCCCTCCCCCTCTACTTCCTCCTCCCCCCATCCTCCCTCCCCCTCCCCCACCGTCGTCCTCGTCCCACGGTGCCCCTCCCTTGTCTGGTGATATATTTGACCCGGAACCTCTGTCCTCTCCCGTCTCCCCCACACATTCCTCTCCTAGTGCCCCTCCCGCCCCTCCTTCACCTCCCTCGCTGCCGACTCGTCCTTCCCCCCCTCCCCGCACTGTACTAACCCGGTACCCCCATACCAGGTCACAAGACAGTATCCTTGGTGCACCGCCCCCTGTTACCCTCTCTACCTCTACCCTCCCCCCACTCTCCCCTCTCCTTCACCACTTCTTCCAGGCTGTTCTGCATCAACCTCCCCCTGCAGCAGCCCCCGCCGCCACCTCTCCAGCAGCGGCGCCAGCAGCAGCACCAGCAGCACGACCAGCAGCGGCACCAGCAGCAGGACCAGCAGCGGCACCAGCAGCAGGACCAGCAGCGGCACCAGCAGCAGGACCAGCGGCGGCACCAGCAGCGGCACCAGC